GTTGAACTTAAATAAATAAATTCAATTCAAATTTGAATTGGGTTCAAAAAATGGGAATACATAGTCCACACAAATCGCACCTCTAGATCAAACCATTGGACTAGGCAGTTAAAGAACCCTTGAGACAAGTTGTCAAAGTAACACCTTAACAACAATTTACAATAAAAAAAACGTACCCAATACACGAATCTTTTATCATTGTTAGGAAGGATTAGGTGTACGTAATTTTACTCTTATAAAACTCTTAGACCTCGTTTGAATGAGAGTAATATTAATCGAGAATGAGTATCTCATTCCTAATGAAGTGATACCCAAGTTTTAATTATCATAATAATCTTTTATTTANCTGTCCCTGACTTTTTAAATGCTCTTTCTATTTTTAATTGCATCAATATAGTACTCAAATTATGTAAATCATAATAATCAATCCATCCATTTAAGACCTAAAGATCGCGGGTTTGAACCTCATCCATCCACTCTCCATATATAAATTGTTCACAATAAAAAAATCATCCATTCATTTTATTTTCTACAAGAACAAATGGAAAAATCATAACACTTGTTTTAATGTGCTTTTTGAACTTATATATTTCTATTTATTTTTTGTGTTTTAAAATTAATATAAAAATGAAGGGATTAGTCACTATGGTCCACATAACTGTTTAAGTTAAAGAGTACATGCCTTAGTCCAAAAAAAAAGGGGCACTGAAAATTGAGGGTCAAATTGAAAATTGTATCAAAGTTTTGGGGCATCTTTGACATTTTGTCCTTTGTTTTAACTTGTTATACTTAGTGTTGCATGTGGGTGATTAAAATAATGGTTCCAACAAAATTAATTATGTGATAATTTTAAGAAAGTCCAAAGGTTTTTGTTTATATATAGATGATGGAAAGTGGACCACTGAGTTTTAGATTATAAAACAAATTGTAGGACAGTGAAAGCTCGATCTTCTATCATGTCCATTAAACAAGTGCATATTGTCTTGTAAAAAGTTTAAAACCTTAAAATACCAACCCACTTTCATCTTTCACAATGAAATTAAAGGTAAAAATGTATTATCATAAAAGGCAGTATAGTCAGTCTGAAGTGTACTAATGCTTTACTAAATCTATCCGGCCTTCCTTTTTATATAGGCATATAACATCTCTCTAATTCAAAAAGGGAGAGATTTCTCATATATAAGGCTTCAAAAACCCAAAGTAGTGCTTCATAAACGAGGCAACATCTCAAGTAGCCTTCGCAGAGGCCCACTTCCATCTTGCAAGAGAGCCGCGAAATATGATCTTTTCTCGATTTTCACTCGTGTGAGAAAAAGTTGTGTATAATAATATTACTTGTCAGGATAGTTTGAATCAACTTTAATATTCAATTAACTCGAGTATTTGTCTTGATCAAGTCTTTCTCGTGTTTTTTAGATCTATTTGGGCTATGGTTGAGTCTTCGAGATTATTGGATTGAAATTTTCTTTCCTTGGGGCCAATTATTTGGGCTTTTTGCCTCAGATTTGAGATGAGCTAGATGGACAAAATCCCGTGCATCAATTTCAATTATTAAACATGGAAATTAATAATCTAAATTTTAAAATAAGTTGTTGTCTAAGATGCAAGGAACTATTAAAAAATTAAAATAGTTTATTAGGAAACTATTATTTTTTTAATAACAAAGAAATCACCCAACCAAACTCATATCATTAGTACTATATTTAATTTGAAAACAATAATACACTTTTTGAACTTGCAACTTTTAGGGTCAAATACTAAAACACATATGCAACATGCAATTTACAGAAAAGACAAAGAAGATCGAAAGTGAATGATTATGAAATTATCATATGGCTCATGTTTAGCATAAGGATCACTGTGATTATTTTTTTAATCTTTTTAATTAGAAGTGAGAGGCCATTATTTAACATGACATATTTAACTGCTAAAATTCATTATTAGAAGAAAATAATCTCTATTAATAAAACATAGTGTCTTGCTTAAGTTCTTGACATTATACGGTGTGCTGTGATGTTGCTGTAGATGGGTAGTTCATCTTTTCTACATTTCAACATGCTAAACGATGTGGATGGTTTTGGGCCACCTAGTTCAGTCCACAAATAGAGCAGAAAGTCTATTTAAGTGGATCTTATCCAGAGGCCCAAGCCCATTAGGAGTATTTGTTAGATTCAATTAATTAAAAAATATTTCTCGTCAGTTCAATGAGAAAATTAGACATGGTTGAGAACTAGAGCCATTCACACCAAATCAGCAATCGATTACACTCATCTTCTGTCTATAAAAGGGAGTCATTTTCCATTAACAAGATAGGCACCCCTTATTTTTCATCCTATGGCTCTCAAAATCTGACTAGAGTGTTCAATTGATATAATTAGAAAGTTCAGGGATTCAAGCGACAAAACAAAAAAAAAAAAAAAATAATCAGATGCTTAATTGACACAAGGATCATAGTTTAAGAGTTATATCTGTAGTTTACTCCAATCATTTGTGTAACATGAGTAGCATATTTCGTCACTTTCTATTAGAAAATTTGACGGAGATAGGTAGAAGTGTTAGAGATAAATTTATTGCAACTTAAAAATATTCATATTAATAAAATGATTATATCATTGCCCAATTAAAAACTTGCAATTTATAGACAGAGAGCAGGCTTGATTAAGCCTCCTACATGAGTTGGAGGGTGAGATTATTGGGTTGGGTCTAGCCCACGTGCAGGGGCGGTCCAAGACCATTTGAGGCCTAAAATAATTACTATAAAAGAGGCTTTTTATTTTTAATACTAATAAAATAATCATCTTAACGAAAGAACATATTTATATTACCTTTGTAATCATGGGTTTCTATTTACATTCATGTGATTTATAACTCAATGATTTTGTGATTGGTTATTTTTATTAATCTAATTAATTTTGATTGCTTGTAATAGGTTTGTTGCCAACAACTTGAGAAAAATAAAGGCTCTATAAAATTGTTGTGGGCTTCAAATATTATGTGAAGTTTGATAGCACGTTGTTTGGTTGTTTAGAATTAGTATAACTACGAAAAAAAAAGAGAATTGATAGAAAAAAATATTATTACGACTTCTATAGTCGAACATATGTTTATGTAATATGTACAGATATATGTCAAAAAAACTTATTTGTATATATGTTTTACTTATGGTTGTGTGCGCATTTATATACCATTCTTGTAAGCCTAATTGTTGTTGTTATATCGAAAATGACTTAAATATTTAAGTACGTGATAACTGCGTATACCCGAATTTGTGATGTTTATGTGTATGTCAAAAATTGGTCTAAGGTCTTTGAACCCTTTTACAATTACAGATTTGATATTTAGTTCAAGTTTTGTTAGAGGCTAAATCTTTGTGATGCAAAGAACAAACAATATTTATTAAGTTAAAAATTTTAATATGAAAATAGTCAACGGTGCAACGTACGTGTACACCAACTTATATATATATATAAAACTGTGTGCTTAGACACAATTAAAATTTTAAAATACGGAATTAATAACCTAACAATAAGATCTATGCACTTTTTGATAATTAAATCTAATTTTGTATATCCTTTTACAATTAACCCTTCATTTAATTAGTTACTTAATTGTGGGTTGAACTCTTAAGTTTTGCAGGATGCAAATCCCAGGTGGTGGAGGCGACAAAAACAAGGAGTGGCGGCGGTTTGGTGACGACGAAACTGAGAAGAGAGAAGAAGAAAAATTGTTGGCGTAGTTAGAACTTTCCATTTTGACAACATTTTATTATGTTATTCACAGTAATGAGAACTATCTAATGAATAATTTATTTTGTTAAAAAAAAATTTTAATTAATATTTTGTAAGATTTATCAAGTGAGATATATCTCCGGATGATGAATTATTATAACCTTTAAAAATTGTTCTTAATGGGATTGTAGTAAAGTCATTATTGAGTTTTCGATGATCATCGAGTTTAAACACAACTACTACTCCCATTGCCCTCCACTCTCCCTCCGCACCTGCTCATACAAATAATAAACATATCATATTTTAATGTTATTTTTGATATAATTAATTTAACGGGTTAAATTAGAATAAATTATTATGAAATTCAAAATAACACAACCCGAACAAACAAGCAAAGAAACACCACAAAATTCCTACCCAAAATAAAACCCACAATTTTGGCCAATTTGATCGGAAATTCGGAATCTAAGTCAAAGTAATTGGCATGTTTTTAAATTTGTCGCTAATGAGGTAGAACCAACGGGATTTAGCTCTTGACTTTCGAAAATGAGAGGTCAGTGAATCAATCCTTGCTTTGCTAACTATTGTTCTATTTTTTGACCGTCAAATCATGGATCTAGATCAGAAACATCTTCAAGAAAGAGACTCGTAAGTTGACTCTCCCATTTTAAAAATGGATTTATGATCAAAACGATGTTGTTTTGTTAAATAGAACAATATAGTCTTCGCATAAAACATTGCTGTTTTAACCAAAAGCGGAGAAGCTGGACCCTATGATTAATTGGTTTCATTGAGAGAGAAAGACATTCCTATTGTGGGTTTTTTTTTATGATGTGAGATCTGTACAAATACTGCATTACCTTAGACGCATCCCTATATAATATATCTTACTCCTTGAATACTTTTAATAATCTGCACTACATGCATCAATTAATTCGAAAGTCAAACTTAGAGACATTCAAATTTATGATACACCACAAAATTAACTACAGGACAGGTGTGTGTGTGTGTTTTTGTTCAATGGTAAGGGATGTTCAAACCAGTTTACACGCATCTCGATTAATTCCCTCTTCGATCCGAAGAAAGGTAGATCATCCATACCGGGACTAATGTATTCATGAAGAATAAATCTCTCATAACCTTAACCCTAAAGGGTTGAAAAGACTCAAATTCAGGACATTTGAATTTGNTTGAAGCCTATTCGAAGCAATTTCAGAGGACTTCTTCACCTTTATACACTTGAGGTCTGAGGAAATAATAGCAGGTGGGTGTATGGTCCTAACGTTTATTGGCAGGAGCCTTGAAGATCCCACCTGCGAAGATTGTTGTTGCCCTTGGGACTTGCTCACAAAATCACTACTCGACCTCGAGGCTGAGGTTTTGCCCTATTCTATCCCACTCACTACTAACACTTTGGAAAAATTACGATGACACCTCTTGTAATTATTTCAAAATGCGAAAATATACTTTTGATTTTTCAAAATATCACCGCAATTCTCGCTAGCTTATAGTCTAGTTTATATGCTTGTTTTCATATATGAGTCTCGTCATCACGCGTTAGAATAAAAATGACAAAGTTACGAAAGACTATTTTCTTTATACCAATTTTATCCTTAAATCACTTAGGGTGTGTTTGTTTGCAATATAATAGTGGTATAACGGGATGAGATTGGGTGAAAAAGTACGTGGGCCCAATTAATATTTTGTTTGTCCACGTTTTAGCGTGTAGTAGTAATTTTCGGATTTTAATACTGACCTAATAGCTAAAGTACCATTAACCCCATATAGATGACTTCAATTAATACCCCCTTGTATGTGGTATTAATTGGAGGGATTTTGGCCACCGACATCATAAGGCTCAAATTTACCATTATAACCCTCTCACGGGCATAGAATGGATGGTATTAAGAATAAATAAGTCTATTTGTAATAAAAGATATGACATAATATATATTTTGTAGTGGGTTTCACAATAAAACATATTGCTCAAATAAAAATAGGATAAGATTTTCTTAATTTTTATATTCGGTATTACCTTTCCTCCGTATTGGAAGTATATGGAATACATTAGTCAATCCCATGAATACTAATCCCCCAAACAAATACATCCAGGCGTATTAGTATTACAGTTTTCTCAACAGAAGTAAGGGATATAAGGGTGAAACTAAAAAACCGAGACGTCCTTCATATCTTCTACCTAAGCCAATTACCTCTTAATATAACCGCCTGAATGGGTTATCTTTATTTTTTCACGTATATAATAATTCCTAATCGTAACGCTACCCCCATTTTTTTTTTTTTTTTTGTCTTTTTATCTAAGGATACAAATATGCTAACCAACATGCGTTGGTTCCAGGGGCTGGTCAAAGAGGCTGACATTGATTCATTCCATATGCCATATTACACACCCTACAAGGATGAGATGGAGTCTATTATTCAAAAGGAAGGGTCTTTTAGTATTAACAGACTAGAAGTCTTTGAAGAAACCCTAGTGGATGTCATGAAACACAATGAAAATGACAGAGAGTATATGTCTGAGAAGAACACAATAATAGCTATTTTTGCAGCAAAAGGAATGAGCTGACAGAACCTATCTTGGCAAGTCATTTTGGAGACTTCAGAATCGACAGTCTGTTTGGTAGGTATACAAAGAATGTGGTTGACTACTTGTCCATGAAGATCACAATGCCATTCAACATAGTAATTACATTGACAAAGAAGTGATTTTCTTCAAGGGGAAAACGGCGTAAATAAGAATCGAGTGAGTGAAGATGAGGGAATGACCCAATAATAAGAGTTTATTTCCGCACGCAAGTGGTTGTAGATTCAAATAACTTCACCCCCTCCAACGACTCTGCATCTTTTTTATCTCTCCTGCATTTTTATTTGTATAAGTTTTCTNGGAATACATTAGTCAATCCCATGAATACTAATCCCCCAAACAAATACATCCAGGCGTATTAGTATTACAGTTTTCTCAACAGAAGTAAGGGATATAAGGGTGAAACTAAAAAACCGAGACGTCCTTCATATCTTCTACCTAAGCCAATTACCTCTTAATATAACCGCCTGAATGGGTTATCTTTATTTTTTCACGTATATAATAATTCCTAATCGTAACGCTACCCCCATTTTTTATTTTTTTTTGTCTTTTTATCTAAGGATACAAATATGCTAACCAACATGCGTTGGTTCCAGGGGCTGGTCAAAGAGGCTGACATTGATTCATTCCATATGCCATATTACACACCCTACAAGGATGAGATGGAGTCTATTATTCAAAAGGAAGGGTCTTTTAGTATTAACAGACTAGAAGTCTTTGAAGAAACCCTAGTGGATGTCATGAAACACAATGAAAATGACAGAGAGTATATGTCTGAGAAGAACACAATAATAGCTATTTTTGCAGCAAAAGGAATGAGAGCTGACAGAACCTATCTTGGCAAGTCATTTTGGAGACTTCAGAATCGACAGTCTGTTTGGTAGGTATACAAAGAATGTGGTTGACTACATGTCCATGAAGATCACAATGCCATTCAACATAGTAATTACATTGACAAAGAAGTGATTTTCTTCAAGGGGAAAACGGCGTAAATAAGAATCGAGTGAGTGAAGATGAGGGAATGACCCAATAATAAGAGTTTATTTCCGCACGCAGGTGGTTGTAGATTCAAATAACTTCACCCCCTCCAACGACTCTGCATCTTTTTTATCTCTCCTGCATTTTTATTTGTATAAGTTTTCACATTTACAATGAGATTTTTGAAGATTAACCCGCTACTTATTATTCTATACAAAAAAATCCTGACTAATTCACCAATTCTCCTCCACCATCCGGATGGGTGGGGGAGGAGGAGGATCGAGTGAGTGCACTTTTATGATGTAAGGAAATGTATTTCAGTATGTTTTTTACTTCTTCTTAGTCTTCATTTGGTATCCTAATTCATATTGCTATGTACATGCTATGCACTTATGTATGGGGATTTTTTGCGGTATTGAACGATAACATTTTGGCATAATGAAATTTTTGATACTATACAAAACTTACGATCCAATCACATTACGTGATAACTTGAAGTATATGTTTTGAAAAAAAAAAAAAAAACCCAATGATAGTTTGATAAATAAGATAAAAACTATGATATTTTTGTAAAATAAGTTTTAAAATAAATGTAATCGGATAATTAACTCACACTTTTCCTATTAAAATTTATTTTTCTTATAAAAATAATTGGCATATATAGCTACCAACGGGCCTATAATGGAACCACCTGTCTTCCATAATTCTAATTCAATTTCAAAGACCCGCCAAATATACACAACACGTGCAACTTTCTCACAAAAAGGCATCCAAATTAAAAAAATGTGTAATCTTAGAAGACTTGGAAAATTTGGGTATTTTCGATGGCTACCTGCGATGTCAATTGTACTGTCATCCGAGCAATCTCAACTAGTTGACGATTAGCTATCTCGTTAGAAAGTTGCTGATTTATCGGGGTTGTAGGGCTCAGTTGGGATTTAGAGCCAGTGGACTCTTCATCATTGAGAGGTTCCTGGTGCCTCAATTACTGGTGTTGTTGGCCTCAATTTTCTTAATGTTATTTGTATCATAATCAATCTTAGGTAAGAATTTTTTAATTTAATTGTAAAAATTCTTTTTTTCACAAGTAACTATAAAATTTGGTGTCAATAATTTATTGTAAGTAATGCATGAATATAAAAACATAATCTTTATAATAATATGTACAGTGCGGAAAAGAAATGGTTTGATGATTGTTTTTAATTCGTATTGAATTATAATATTTATATACCGGAACAAGTCCAAGAAAATTGTTCAAGAGGTGGCAAATATGTTATATATAAACAATTAGTAATAACCTTGTGCTTAGAGACACTCTAAAATGTCAAAAATTGAACATTAATTGCGTCACATTTTTATTATAAATAAGAATTATTTTTTTTTAATTACGCAATTTAAAATTAAAGTGAATATAAAGAAAATAAAAGTGAGTTAGGGAAGAGAGAATAGAGAGGTACATGTGGATTAGTGAAATTATTCAGTATTGGAGAGTGTGTTGATTGAGTTATGTAACATTGGGGGTTGTGAAGAGAAAATAATATTTTTTAGAGAAAAAAATTGTGGGATGAATTTTGTTCCATTGTATCAAAATATATAAAAATTGGATCAAAAACAAAAACCAAATGATTAGAGATTACCATAAAGGAAAAAAATTGAAATTTTAAATGCGTAAAAGTGAGATCAACACCACTATTATGGTAATACTACATCATAATTTGATCCATGTTTTGGTTCCATTTTTTGTACCGAAAAAAAGTCATAAAAATAATTACAACAATAATCGTAAAAAATCTACAATAGTGATAAATAACCTACAAAGTGGTAAATTTTTATATTAGTAATGCTAAATTGACCAAATTTTTGAACCAAATGATATGACAGTTGACTTGAACTTCTTTGATTGGTGTGATCTTTTTTGTGCCCCAATAAAAACTTCAAATAATCAACTTTCATGTCATTTGGACTCCAAACTTGGTCAATATAGNCTTATCAAGTTAAGGTCTGCATAATACTCTTGGTTAACAATTATTCCAAGATTTCGATAAACTTCATAAATAGGACTGCAATGAATAGATTAAATAAAAGGCTAATTGTTTTTTATCTCCACGTAGTTTAGGCTAAAAGTGTTCTACCTAACGTTTAAAATTATGCATATTACCCCCTTATAGTTATGTATTAAATTGAAATAATTATTTTTATTATCAAAGTTAACGGAGAATATACTCCACAAGCCCAAAACATGTTGTGGGCTTTGTTTCTATTGTTTTCCTCCAAAAGAATATCGTCAAAGTGCCTTAAATACCTTTTATAATATATGTTATAATACCCGAATAGCTAGCATATCAATCTCATATCAAAAAAACATGCAAGAAAAAAACAAATGATTTTCAAACCCAGAACCTGAAAAAAGAGACTTGACATGTTCAATTAAAATGTGTTAGTTTGTTGTCANGGTGTCAATAATTTATTGTAAGTAATGCATGCATATAAAAACATAATCTTTATAATAATATGTACAGTGCGGAAAAGAAATGGTTTGATGATTGTTTTTAATTCGTATTGAATTATAATATTTATATACCGGTACAAGTCCAAGAAAATTGTTCAAGAGGTGGCAAATATGTTATATATAAACAATTAGTAATAACCTTGTGCTTAGAGACACTCTAAAATGTCAAAAATTGAACATTAATTGTGTCACATTTTTATTATAAATAATAATGTTTTTTTTTAATTACGAAATTTGAAATTAAAGTGAATATAAAGAAAATAAGAGTGAGGTAGGGCAGAGATAATAGAGAGGTACATGTGGATTAGTGAAATTATTCAGTATTGGGGAGTGTGTTGATTGAGTTATCTAACATTGGGGGTCGTGAAAAGAAAATAATATTTTTTAGAGAAAATAATTGTTGGATGAATTTTGTTCCATTGTATCAAAATATATGAAAATTGGATCAAAAACAAAAACCAAATGATTAGAGATTACCATAAAGGAAAAAAATTGAAATTTTAAATGCGTAAAAGTGAGATCAACACCACTATTATGGTAATACTACATCATAATTTGATCCATGTTATGGTTCCATTTTTTGTACCGAAGAAAAGTCATAAAAATAATTACAACAATAATCGTAAAAAATCCACAATAGTGATAAATAACCTACAAAGTGGTAAATTTTTATATCAGTAATGCTAAATTGATCAAATTTTTGAACCAAATTTAGAGCTCAAATGATATGACAGTTGACTCGAACTTCTTTGATTGGTGTGATCTTATTTGTGCCCCAATAAAAACTTCAAATAATCAACTTCCATGTCATTTGGACTCCAAATTTGATCAATATAACATCACTCTTTTTATATTGTAAAATGAACCATAAAAATTGTAAAAATACCAGTAATAAATTTTAGAGGTATAGTACCAAATTTTTTTTTGTCCGTCTCTTTACTTAGAGACAACATTCATTGAACATTACCTTAGCATAAATAACTGCGTCAACAAATATTGTTTCTATATATCAAATGGGAACAAGATGGAGGAAGTGCAAAAATAGGGAATAAGTTTGTTTTGAATCAAATCTAGAATTTTTTTAATAATGCAAAACCTCTAGAGGGCAGGGATCACATAAGGCACAATATCCCTATAAAACAATACTGGTTGAATCAAAGCTATAGTTGATGATAGCTCTTCTCCCTCTATTTTGTGTGTGTGTGTTTGACCAGAAAGAAGGCAGGCAACTAGGAAATCATGGAAGTTGAAAGAGTTTTGCACATGAATGGAGGGCATGGAGAATCTAGCTACGCCCATAACTCAAGTTTTCAGGTCTCTCTCTCTCTCTCTCTCTCTCTCTCTCTCTCTCTAAACATTCAGATCAAAAGCAAAGGTTTCATTGATGGGAATATTCCTGGCTAAACTATCATGTCCATCTTCCAGAAATCAGAGATGCTGAAGGTAAAGCTTCTTATAGAGGCTACCATAAAAGATATGTACAATATTAATGGTGGCTTCCCTGAGTGTTTGAAGATAGCAGATTTGGGTTGCTCATCCGGACCAAACACCCTCTTTGCCGTCTCCGAGATCATAGACATTGTTCATGGTTGTTGCAAGCAAAACGGTCACAATAAGACTCCTCCTGAGTTTCAAGTGTTCCTAAATGATCTTCCAGAAAATGACTTCAACACAGTTTTCAAGTCTCTGTCTTGTTTCTTTGACAAGCTCAAGAAGGAGAAAGGAGACCAATTTGGGCCCACTTTCATATTGGCAATGCCAGGCTCTTTCTATCAGAGGCTTTTCCCAAGCAAGAGCTTGCACTTTGTTCATTCCTCTTTCAGTCTTCACTGCCTCTCCTAGGTCAGTCAGATCTATTAACTACTAAAATATTGAATACATAGAAGCAAAAAACTAATTAGGGTCATGAAAGATATCCGATTGGGTTCACTGTCAATCTACTTGCAGCTACCAACAGGCAGCTTATCAAGTTAAGGTCTGCATAATACTCTTGGTTAACAATTATTCCAAGATTTCGATAAACTTCATAAATAGGACTGCAATGAATAGATTAAATAAAAGGCTAATTGTTTTTTATCTCCATGTAGTTTAGGCTAAAAGTGTTCTACCTAACGTTTAAAATTATGCATATTACCCCCTTATAGTTATGTATCAAATTGAAATAATTATTTTTATCATCAAAGTTTACGGAGAATATACTCCACAAGCCCAAAACATGTTGTGGGCTTTGTTTCTATTGTTTTCCTCCAAAAGAATATTGTCAAAGTGCCTTAAATACCTTTTATAATATATGTTATAATACCCAAATAGCTAGTATATCAATCTCATATGCAAGAAAAAAACAAATGATTTTCAAACCCAGAACAGAACCTGAAAAAAGAGACTTGACATGTTCAATTAAAATGTGTTAGTTTGTTGTCGTGTTCCATTAGTTTTATAGTCAAAAATAAATCATACGAAAATTTTGATTTTAAAATATGGATATTATGGTAATTTTTAATTCTATTAAAAATATCAATTACTTCATTTTGATATATAACTATGAGAGAGTAATGTGTATAATTTTAAACGTCAAGTAAATAAAGTACTTCTAACTAAAATCACATGAGATAAAAAATAATTAATCCTTAAATAAAAGCTCATTTAAGTTCGTTTCGTGATAGAATGATATGTCAGTTCCTGAAGGACCGGAGAATAACAAGGGGAATGTATATATGTCAAAGACAAGTCCTCCCAAAGTGCTTGAAGCCTACTCCAAACAATTTCATAGGGACTTCATCACATTTTTGCACTTACGCTCTAAGGAAATAATTCCCGGTGAACAAATGGTTCTAACTTTTGCGGGCACGAGCCTTCAAGATCCTACCTACTCACAATTCGAGATGGAGGCCCAGGTTTTGCCCTATTCCATTTACTACCCCTAAAAAAATTACTTGCTATGATGTTTAATTTTTGGTAACCATCAAGATTTCGTTTTAATATATAGTTTTAATCAGTCGAACCTAAGTCAAGTACGAGTCATTTGACTATTTTACATATAAACGAGTCAAGCCTTTCAGACTTATTTTTTTAAACGAACTTAAAAAATTGTTCGAGTCGAAATTCGAGTTTTGTCCTAGCCATATGAGTCGAATCCGAACTAAGCTCAAATAAGTCAGATTATCGGTCCTAGTCACTTTAGATATTAAAATTTTTCTTAACAAAGTAATACTACAAAAATAAAAGGGTCATATTGTAACTCTTAGGTTTCTCTTTACATGTTTCACCTGACACACCCTGGTCTGGGATACAAGGACTCAACTTGCAATTAGGTCCAAATGGATAATACCCTTTTGATGTGGAATGTGTGACCATAATTTACACTTACTTTTTTTCCTTTTAACTATGCACACAAACTTGCTTCTTTTTTTTTTTTTTATCCTTTATTGGGTCTAAATATAGTACCTAGGGATAAGCCGGGACGGGAAGTAGTTTTCACCCTATATCCGCTTTAAAAATATTCATTCAAAAATATTCATTCACCTCTCGTCTATCTTTGTTGGTGTGAGAAATCTTAATCTTTGTTCTCGTGTACGTCCACTGTCCAATATGTATAGTACATCTCCGACCCAAATAAGACAAATTTAAACGAATATCCATTTTTTCCGATCCACTGCAGTATCGAAAAATAATTTTTCAATATTATATGTAAACTTTTCAGTATTATATGTTTACTTTTCATCTAATAAAACCATGACATGTGTAAAATCTCTAAATTACTCCTTCGTTAGAGCGTTTTAGTGCATAGGTAAACCTATCAATGAATCGGATTCAAATCCAAATTTGATTAGCCGAATCGATTAATATTTTTTTCGATAATTCAAACCCAAATTCGATATCTTATATTTCACAACTTCGAATTTTAATATATTTATATTTGATTCGAATATGATCTATTCGAATTATTTATATATTTTTATATAAATATTAAAGAAACTAAGTGATTATTTAAAGAAATTTAGCTTGAAATTTAGGTACATTCTTTAAAATGTAGTTAATTTTAAGTTATTCAGATCGGATTAGATTTTCGGATCGAATTTTGAATCATTAACAAATTCGGATATGAATCAAAAAAATAAGATCCATTGAATTTTCAGATTGAATTTGAATCAGATTTTTGAATTCGAATTCAATTCGAACCAATCAAAATTCTATCCATACTCAATCCGTTGACAGACCTACATCCGACAGTCCTCTGGCCGTTTTGAAAAGGCAGAGAAGGAGCACCCCTGCGAATGTGTAAAACCTTTTTTAGTTTATTACTTTTTATTGGTTTATTATGCTTTTCAATCATGGGTTACAAACTACCCAAACTAAAGTGAAGAGTTTACGTATCAATTTCGATACAATACCTCTAGATACTGTGTCGTAATGCTTTTTTCTTTCAACTAGGGCCGTTCAAAATTCCGCTCATCTGACCCGTTTTGTATCCTTCCTATCTTACCTTACCCAATTATTGAAATTCTACAAAATTTCGGCCGGCAAATGATAAAAATTTTAGTATTTTGTAAAATCACGAGTAGGAATGCAAAATATTCATAAAAATTCCGCATTTTTACCCGACTAACACTTATATTTTATTTTTTAAAAATAATAATATATTTTATATAAAATGATGTCGTTTTATATGATCATATTATTGGATTTATTATGTTTGTTTACACATTCTTATATTATATTTTAATAGCGTAATTATAAAAAGTTCAAAAATTTAATAATTGAGTTGTTATAATAGCTTAAAAATTAAAAATATGTAACATATTTTGCATTCCTACCTTATTTCTGAGCCAGTTTTTTGGGCCAAATTCTGTTCGAAATATTACCCTCAATCAGATAAAATCAATCAAGAAATTGATCTTTCACAATTCATCAACTCGAAAGATGAAATACATTAATACTTACCCGTCACTCAGGTGAACCGCCCTACTTTCGACAAACTTGCCTAATCAATAGTTTTTTTTTTTTTTTTGGGTTTTAGGGGCTTGTCAAGGAGGCTGACATTGACTCATTCAATATTCCTTTTTACACACCCTACAGGGATGAAGTGGAGGCTATTATTCAAAAGGAAGGGTCTTTTAATCTTCAAAGCCTAAAAGTTCTTGAAGAGACTGTAGAGGGTGTCAGAAACCACAATGAGAATGAGTGTCTGTCTGATAAACAGAAAATAAGAGGGACTTTTTCGGCAAAACTTATAAGTTCTTGGAGACTTTAGAATTGATGGTTTGTTTTTGAGGTATGCAGAGAATGTGGCCCAATATGTATCAATGGAGGTAATAAAGTCATGCAGCATAGCTATTTCCTTGACAAAGAAGTAATTTTTGTACCGGTTCAAATCTCCTCCAGTACTAGTTTTTTTCTATTTTTTTTAATTCTCAACGGGATTGTTAATGTCGTAGTTTGGTTTCTTTTCTGTGATTTATTGAATTGGGTGGAACTCTGATTTAAGAATTTGTATGTTTTTTTTTTTTTATTTTGGAACTAGTTCGGTTTGCACTTTTAGTTATAGTTTTACATGTTTGATGTTGAAAGTTTTTTTGTTGTCCTCGATGTGGCACATAGAGTTATGAGCCCGAATTCAATCCGAATTTTAAAAAAATAACTTGGCCAATACTCAGATTGAGTAACTCAAATTGAAAATCTGGTTTGAATTGAATTAAGATTAGAGTTTTTGTACCTAGAGTTAGACTTAGATTGACCCACTAACCCGTATGAGTTACACCACTTATGACCACATAGCAGTGAGAGACTCGCTTAAAAATAATAAATCCTACTTGAACTAGTCATACGCCAATGCAATTCTTTTTCAACTTTGTATACCAAGTGATAAGACATATTTACCACCATTGGGCCTATATGGGATGGGAATTACAAATTTTGGTGCAAAAAAATTAAAGACGAGCATATTAGAAGGGATCTCGAATAAATACCTACTCCTGTAGTTATTCATTTTTTCCTCGAGTCTACACAGTGTGGTACTTGATATTTTTTTTTTCTTTTTTTTGGAACGGAGAAGGGAGAGAGAGATTTAAACTCTTGACCTCAAAAAGACAAAACATTTACAAGACAAAAAATACCATTGGACCAAAGACTCATTGCATACTTAGCAAAGACCCATTGCATACTTACCGGAAAAAAAGAAAGACATTGGCATAGCAATAATATTACTTTGGCTTCATTTATCGCCACAATTGATTGTCCGATACATTATAACCATAGGATTGGTAGTGAATCGGGTTTTAATATTTACGATTCACCGCTAATTCAACAGCAACAATGAATTTTCAGTAACTTAGATTCAAGTAATATTAATCTTATTTCATGTTTAATTACTATTTTTTGCAGATGATCTACAGGAATTCCAGTATAGAAATATGCATGCATTGGCCTATTATTATACATACGATTAAGCTTAAAGAAAGTAAACAAGCTCTGATAAGAAAAAACAAAATTACAAAACAAACGCTACTGAAAAAAAAAGGTACTTAAAAATAGTGTTATCCAATAGTGCCTAAAACTCTCATACTTACCAAAAAATAATAATAGCAGCAGAAAAACGAAAGAAAAGGAACTCACAGCATAGTCTTCTATGGAGATCTTCCCAACCACACTTCCAAGCATCACATGTGAAGTGTACAAACTGCAAGTACAGCAGTCATCTGAATAGCGAACGACAGATAATAAAGAGAAGAAGAGAGAGGAGGGGGGGGGAGAACACTGAAACAAGCTTTTGTTTACACAAACTTTACGTGTCTCGTAACCCATACTGGGAAATGAGTTTCATCAAGATGAAATTGACTCCTCATTGGTATGCCCGCTTGGAGAAAGCATGATTCCTTCTGAGAAGATGAACTTGTTGGTTGCACCAAAGATGTCGGCTATTTGCAGAACGGTTGTTTGAGATGTGGTACTCATTGGCAGCACATCCTCGGGGAGGCAAGGCATACATTCAGGAAGAAATTCTGTCTTGTTGAATGTTGGAGCGTATAGCGATAACACCACCCGACAAAACATGAATCTGGGACATTACAAGAAAATTTTACCCTCTACACATCTATGAAATAAAAGCAATGTTATCTAAGAAGCATAGACCAAGCCACAGAACTTGAGCTGCGCGTATTGGGGATCTCATTTAATCCTACAGAGGAAAAGGCCCTTCAAACAATGTCGATATGTCACCAAGCAAGCAAATCTCAACCGTAAACCCATATGAATAAGTCCAATGATTTTTCTTTCAAATTCTCCCCCAAAAGTATGTCTGAAGTTTCCCCCTCAGACACCAAAAAATGCAGATTGATCTAGATTTCACACATCAAACCTCAAATACGGCAATGTATGTTGTTCTTTTCCTTCCAATAACACTAAAAGATTCAGGCTTTTGTCATCGAGAAAAAAAATTTTCGTGGTTCAGCAGCATTTGCAGGTCACTCAGCATTAACTCAAAGTAGCCATGGAACTTGAAATTCTTCGAACGCCCAAAAATAATTGTGTTCAAAGATCTTCAAGCAAATCACACAAAAATACCCTTTTTTTTTTTTGAATCACTTGCTGATATATTCGGAACTTGACTTTGATAGTACATTTCAATTTGTTAGTCAAGTTCAACAACTAAACTTTTTTTTTTGATCAACAACAACTAAACTTTAAACACACATAAGCACACAAATACACAGATGCATGAAAAGATGGAGAGGATCTGACCCTCCTCTGGCCGCACGTCGTCGGGAATCTCATGCAGTGGACTGCGCTTAGAGACCAGAAACTAACCTCCAGAAAGAAAAGGAATTAAAATCTGGAAGGTACCTTAAGAGAAGTCGCCTGAGGAATGGATCACTCAAAACTTGAGCCCAGACAGGATCAAGATTGTCAGAAGCTGCCAACATTGATCCCCAGTGATTTAACGAAGAGGAAAGCAGATTCTCAGCCTTGCTATACATAGCCTGAAAACCTGATTTCTAGTTTAGCCCAACAACAGAGAAAAGCAATTAAAATACAAGTAGAGAGGCAGTGCGGACTACCAGACCATTTCAATTTCAGAACCGGTAAAACCAAGCAAGAGAAGGAACGCCTGCAAAGGAGCTGTGAGAAAAATGGTGAATAGGCTTCCATTTGCGTGACGAGAAGAATCTACAGAAGCAGGTATAGGTGATGAAATAGTTGGAGATAGGAGCATTGCAACCAGCTCTCCTTTTTCTGCTCCATTTATAGCCTGTGCGTGATTAACGGTTAACTTAACTGAGATACTAGCAAGCAAACGATGTGCAAGGCTGGTTAGATAGGTAACTATTAAAGATATATACCAAGTGACCGAATATCAANTAACTTAACTGAGATACTAGCAAGCAAACGATGTGTAAGGCTGGTTAGATAGGTAACTATTAAAGATATATACCAAGTGACCGAATATCAAATTTATAAAGATGATGTAAAAGCTTTCTTTCCATGATTTTAACTATCATTTAAAAGAACTAAAAAAGTACATTTGAGAGGCATGAACCTTTTATTTCACGTGAACATATAAAGTTCTCCCTTAAATTGAGCTATGTTGCATGGAGTCTTCAAAATGCATCAAGTACCCTTATCAGACAATTTATACCCGAATAAGCTGTGTGGGATATGTGTCAGACACATCCATCAGATTTCACTATCTAACAATTCCAAAATGAGCGAAGTACCCATTTTTAAAGTCTACGTAACATAGAACACCACTGTTCACCTGGAACATAGAGGGAAATACCAAAAATATATCGATATTTTTCTATATATGCCTATGTCATTTTATTTATTCGTTAGACAAATGTAATGATTAGCACATACACTGGATACTTGTACCCAAGTCCATGTAGAATAATGTCAAAGTCTAGTACACCGATTACACAGCAGAACCTTACAATAATCATGCTGTTGCCAGTTAGTCATACAATAAGTACCGAGAAGAATTGGCGAAACAAGAATAGCAACAGTTACTTCCTTAACGGAATACAAACAGGATTCTGGCATGGAAGTGTGTTGATTTGCAAATTCTGTAAACCTATTGCATCCTTCAGAATTTTACCTTGCTCTCTCTCTCTCTCTCTCTCTCTCTCTCTCCACCCCAAAAACAAACCAAATCCAGGGGTCTCCTTCTGTGCTTCTTTGCATGGTAATCCATATAGCAAAACTCATCACCTCAATGTGAACAGCTAGACCTAATGCTATGTTGCATAGGCATGTACCAAAATATTAACCACATATTACAAGAAATGGCGTACTAAAGATCATTAATTTGCCCAAACTGCAAAAGTAACAGCATATATGATAAGTACCAAAGGAACAGGAACCTGGTAGGTGAATGAATATAAATCAAAATAGTCTCTGTACTGACATAAACTCCAAAGGACATTCTGTTTGGGCTATGGCCAGTAACTATAGTAGCGCCTTTGCTTTGCATCAGCTCCCCTGGACAGTGGAGAACTCAGCTCCGACAGACTGAGGCACATGCTCATAATTTTATGTTTCACACCCTAAAACTTATTTTTAATTGCCAGATGCCCTCAATTATGAGCTTGTCTTTCATTTGTGAAAACTTTTTGACAACCTTTCTTATAGAAGCATCCTCTTTCTATCCAGTGTGTTTTCAATATCCTCAACCATGTGCTTAAACAGTGGTTCACCCAATATTATTTTCTGGACGTATAAGAGTAACCATCAATTTGTTGAGATTTTTAAAAGGGTCTAGAATCTGTTAATCCATCATCAGACCTCAATGCACTTGTGTCATCTTGCATTGGTCTCTGGTTGACTAGGTCACCATAAGCTTGGTTTTGTTGAGACAATATAGCATCGCATACAATTTGTGAACTAGAGTAGAGAAGAACAACCACTATTGCTCGATTCAGCTTGATCATATCCTCAAGGATGATGCTGTAGCTGTCATTTTGTTATGAAAAAGGAAACAAAAAAATTTAACCTCCCAATTACAGAAATCTTGTAGCCTTATGTCCACGTGTCGTTGATTACCTGCTAGGTTTATGCCAAAGTTTGGCACAAATGTGTGTGTGTGTTGTAGTTGTGCCAAGCAACTATTGACCATTCAATGCTGGTGAACACAGAGACAGTGTTTAATGTCTTAAAATGACATAATGGAGGTGTTGTGCCAGTGAAACTAGAGAAACTCGTTTCCTAAGATAGTATTGTTGAATTACAGACTGCAGCATTTTCTTCCAAGAGAGATAATAAAAGTAATGATGAGTTGTAGTATTGGAAAAGCTTTTAGAATAACATGTCATAATTTGGCTTTGACAAGTACATTCTGTTCCTAAAGGGCCACATCCATTGCAATGCTAAAGCTACAACTCATGCATGACACTCAAGTTTTCACTGATTCAGCAAGCCGAATTTGCAGAAGGCAGCGAGCTGAATTTAGGTATTACGTGATTGCTACCAGTTGTTGGCAAAGTCATGTTCCAGACTTCTAGGGGTGGCACCCATTTAATTTGTGCACATGTATATGTTAATAGATCTTGTATCCCAAATAGAATAATTAGGATCAAGGTTGACTTACATACTTGAGGGGCCACTTCACTCATTTTCCATTGATTTTGAGTTGAATGCCCTAACACGGTATTAGAGCTAAACTTTGGGTGGTCAATAGGCCAAGTCTCTTATCCATTTGAATTTTTCGATATGTATAGTTATTTGTTTGTTTGATAACCTCACATGCAAGCTCGAGTCCCACGTGAGGGTGATCTTGAATTCCCATACTGAATAATTAAGACCACAAAGGTTTGGTTTATATACTTGAGAGTCACTCCACTCATTGTCAATTGATTTTGGGTTAGATGCTCTAATAGTATACATTGGCATGACTAGCATGATGTTCATTAGTCAAAGGCGTGAAAGCCCTTTTGTTGCTTTGTTTGAGTCTGGTGTTGTTGCGTAGAGGAGTTTTAATGGAATGATTTAATAATGCCCTTCCCTGAACATTTTCTTATTTTGAGGTGATTGAATACCTGTCTAGAAAGGAGCTTTCACTTGGGTAGTGGGAAGGCAAAAAAATCCGATGGTGAATTATTTTTAGTTTTTAGAAGGATGCTGATAAAACTAGCAGCATCATGTGTTATGAGTCAGATCAATATGGCAAGTACTTTGCCCACAAAAAAAAAACATTGACTAGACCAAAGAAGCATTAATAGTATCTACCAAAATAATCAAATAGCATAACCTGACATACATATGATCCCAATAGGCTCCACAAACAATTATGGAAATAATCTAAATACCCTCACTCTAGAACAATGAAACTCCTACCACATTATCCAAACATAGACATTAAAAAGGGCATTGATTTCATCCTAAACAAAATCAAAGATGCCCTACACATATTCCATGAAAAATTCCGGAATTGCCAATCTTTATATCATGCTCCGTATCATTCTTGTCACATGTTGAAGTATAAATACTTAAGTTACACCCACTCTAGCAGCTTAAACTTTTGAAGTAGATAGTTGTTTAACATGGTATCAGAGTAGGAGGTCTTGTGTTCGAAACTCACCGCCACCCTAATTATTAAAAAAAATTTCACGAGATAGGCCCAAAATCTAGTCTGTACATGGGAGGATGTGTTGAAATATAAATACTTAATATCAGAGCGAAGTCTTGTGTTCGAATCTTGCTGCTACCCTACTTATTAAAAGATTTCTATATGCTAGGCCTAAAATCTAGCATTCACATGATGGGGCTTTTTGAAGTATAAATACTTAAGTAGCACCATCTCCAACACCTTAAACTTTTGGAGTAGATGATTGTTTAACATAGTATCAGTATAGGAGGTTCTGTGTTCGAATCTTGCCGCCACCCTAATTATTAAAAAGATTTTCATGTGCTAAACCCAAATCTAGCCCGCACGTTAGTGGACGTGTTGAAATATAAATACTTAAGTACACCCTCTCTAACAGCCTAGTTTTAAGAGTAAACGGTTGTTTAACATGGTATCAGAGCAGGAACTCTTGTTGTTCGAATCTCGCCACCCCCTAATTATTAAAAAAAATTTCAAGTGTAAGGCCCAAACTCTAACCTATACATGAGTGGATGTGTTGAAGTATGAATACTTAAGTTACACCCTCTCCACCAACTTGACCTTTTAGATTAGATGGTTGTTTAACACCACATTTGACAAGCTAGACCTCGAGTTTCGAAGTTCTATAATAGGATAAAGCATGAGGACTGAACTTGACCTTTCAAAAACTTCCTTGTTCTTGTGGTTTCTTTGCTAGTTATTCATTTTTACCCTTTCCTCCTTCTGAAGGGACAATAATTTTGAGTCCCAAGAAATGTTCGCCCAGGTTAAAATATAATGTTCAAGATTATTCTTGTGGATGGTGCAGAGTAGATATGGTCATCAATGATCAAAGATCATTCATTTGTCAAATTAAAACCCAAAGGCATAATTATATGGCATTGTCGAGGGCCCAACCATTGACCATATTGTTTCACTTTCAAAGAAATATAAGAAGCTGAACCAATATACACACTATAGCTTCTTATGATTAATTTAGGGGTGCGAGGGCCTAAGAGGTCTTACATCCCCATTTCCTTTTTTTCTCATAATTGTCATTTCATTAATTAGAATACAATATTTTATCCAATCATATTCTGTCACATTTCCCATTTAACCACCCTTCCACCCCACTAATTTTAAGTACCATTCATTTAAATTTTTAAAAATAAATTTATATGTAATGCTTATCCCATATGGCAAGCGATTAGGTAGAAAATGTAGCAACATTTAATACAGCAGTAAATTTTGTGCACCGAACGGGTCAACTCTAGTATTTTGTGTTAAAATATAAATACTTAAGTTTCACCAGCTCCCACAATTTAACTTTTAGAATAGATGATTGATTAACATGATAGGTTCTGTGTTCAAATCATGCCGGTACCCTAATTATTAAAAATAAATAAAAAATTCACGTGATATGCCCAAAATCTAGTCGACGCATTAGGGAGTGTTTTAAAGTATAAATATCTAAGTTACATCCTCTCTAACGGTTTAAATTTTGGAATAGATGGTTGTTTAACACTCTGTATTATACCAATTAATTTAGGGGTGGAGAGTTTGGAAAGCCTTCCCTCCCCAAGTACTAAATTCTCTTAATTTTGAGTTGTTTAATATGAATGCAATGATCTCCTCAAACAAAATCTTTTCATATGGTGGTCATGAGTCATGATAAAGCTTTTTGTCACACATTTTGTGCTACAAGCTGTTGGAACTTAATTGAACAAATATACAAAAGTTATTCGAATGTCAACTCTCCTCAAACTAGACCCACTTTTTTGTCTCTTGCCCCTTTGAAGTATTAGGCAATTTAAATATCAACAAATTCTCATAAAGTCCAAGCCACTCCTTAACCAAATTGCACTTTTTTTGGGGTGGGGATTTTTGGCGGGGAGAGGGGGCTGGTTAAGCAACCAAAACCACACAATTTTCATATCTAACCTTCTTTTTTATTATATTGATTTGTTTATAATTAAACTTCTTACAGAGGAAACATTTGTGCTCCCATTAGCTATGCCTAACAAACAAATAAATCAAAAAATTCCGAGACTTATATACAACAAGTACATCAACAAATCTTATTTTTTCAAATAAAACTACATTCAAAAAAAAAAGCTCGTTGTATAGGCACGAAATCACCATTCATATTATCATGGCCATGTCTCAAACTGCTGCATATGAAACTCATGAGTTCTTAAACAAAGAGTTGTGTTAAGATACTTGCCTTGAATGCTTTACTTCTGTCACTGTCAACAACCAGAAAAAGAGGTCTTCTTGTAAATGGAATTAAATCACAAGGATAAATGCAATTCAAACCTGAAAAGAATGTATCATCTTAGGATAAATATACTTCAATGCTGGTAGAAGCAAATCTATAATAACTGACAAGATTAGGCACATTCTTTGGTGATTCTACAAAAGAAGAGCATAAGAGTCAGAAGAATCAACAAACATGAAGTGCAGTGTTAACGAGAAATTTAGAATGGGAAAACCCATGAAAATTATGTTTTTCTTCATATGCTATTATTCATCAAAATATATATCTATAACCAAAATGAATTAGAAGTTTTATCACAGATAATCAACCAATCTGTCAAGACAGCTTTCTCTACTGAGGTAGCAATTGAACCAAAAAAAATTAGCCCTACTATTTCAGCAAGCCCAGAATTTTGCGTACAATTATTGCATAAATTTGGATACTTATCATTCACATCCACCTTTCCCCAATCTTACCCCCTCTAGAACCGTTAACCTGCAACAACAACCAGAACACAATTTCTGTTGAGCTAAATGATGTTAAGTATTCCCTACATATTTAAGTCCTCTACCTTTTCTCTGTGTCCTTGATAATAGAAGTAATGTGAAGGCACCCGCGCAGTTCACCTTTTCATCCTAGTTCCTGCAAGAAATTATGAAGAGCGGATTTTTATTCTTGTGATCGACTTCATGGATTGCTATCCACCATAAGATTGCAAGACTCAGAGTATTATTTGAACAATGCCCATTTTGGCCCTCACTGTGGATTTGGATTTCTCAATGACCTACTGGAATTTCACAACATGTTTTGCATGCCAAACTTTAGAAGTGATTTGCTCGATGTCAAGCTTGCATTCTATTAAAGATAACATGGAACTTCATGTCAAAACACCCAACAGAAGANATGTTTTGCATGCCAAACTTTAGAAGTGATTTGCTCGATGTCAAGCTTGCATTCTATTAAAGATAACATGGAACTTCATGTCAAAACACCCAACAGAAGAAACTTGGAGGAGTATTTGAAGTTATGAGTGCACACATATTAACTACCATTCCCTTCCGCTTTTGGTCTCTTCAACATTTTCCTTGACTGANGAAACTTGGAGGAGTATTTGAAGTTATGAGTGCACACATATTAACTACCATTCCCTTGGTCTCTTCAACATTTTCCTTGACTGAAATGAATCGCCTGATCAACCTGAAGAGAAAGAGAATGATCAAAAGAATGCTGTCAACCACCAAATCAGTCGTCTACATTCCAACTAGTCTGGAAGCTTGATGGTGCCCTCACTTTTTCATTATAAAGAAATTCTACAGACAGTCATCGCTATTTCTCACCTCCCTTTCTTAGAGAACTCAATCATCTCCATTCCAACACAAGGACTTCATTGCAAAACTGGACCA